CAGGTGTGACTGACTGTGTAGAACAGGTGTGACTGACTATAGAACAGGTGTGACTGACTGTAGAACAGGTGTGACTGACTGTAGAACAGGTGTGACTGTGTAGAACAGGTGTGACTGACTGTGTAGAACAGGTGTGACTGACTGTAGAACAGGTGTGACCATGTAGAACAGGTGTGACTGACTGTGTACAACAGGTGACTATACTAGGGTCTAGTGGAGGCTTTTGTGCTTGTGGAAATGATGAGCCAAAATGCAAACTTATGAATTAACAGTGTGCAGAGTAGTTTTTGATCTCAGAGTACTCATGAGATTTTCAACAGTCCTGTGAAACACATTTTCCCACTAACCCCAGCAGATTTTTATGGGATATTAAGACAATAATTTAACTGAAGTTTTAGGGACAGACAGACTCTAACACTGTGGTTCCCCAGCATCTGGCAGACTTGTTTTCTTTTTATTTTTGAGGAGATAGAGAGAGTGGGGAGGTGAGAAAGAGAGTATACATGGCTGGCATGTGATGTGGGTGCCTTCAGACACCAGAAAAGAATGTTGGATTTCCTTGAGCTGAAGTTACAGGTGGTTGTGACTTAGTTACTTGACATGGGTGCTGGGAACTGAACTCGGGTCCTCTAGAAGAGCAGCAAGTGCTCTTAATCCCTGAGCTATCTCTCCACGCCCAGTTTACAACCTGTAAGCTTCCCTTCTCCATGATCCTTCTGAGGAACAATGGAAGACTAAAGACCCTCTAAAGCAATGCATGGGGCCAGGTTTGGCCTTCCCAATTCAGAGATGAGAAGATGATCTATTAGCAACAGCAGATTCTCCCAGCATCCTCTTGGCAGCTCACCTGTTCTAGCATGTCCTTGGGCAGATCCTCCTGTTCATCCATTGTTAGAATTGCCCGCTTGATTTCATCATTGGATAATTTCAACCTGGAGAGAGCATATTTTACTTTGTTAATAACATTGTTGTGATTGTTACAATTTCATGCAAGATGACTCACTCCGCTACACCAGCTGCTGATTTTCAAGTATGGTTTTTCTCAAAATCTCAGCCAAGGCTTATTTCCTGACAACAGAGGGAACTAAAATAGGATTCTGAAACAGCTTAAACATTCTTTCAGGGTTCTGTAATGTTCTGCTGACAGGGGACAAGCTGCCATGTTCTATCATTAGTTTCCTTAAAGAAAGCTGGAGACGGGGAAAGGGGGCACAATGGCCTTCTTACAGCCAACACCCCCAAATTGTAGGTGAGAGGAAAGACGTCAACCTTTGGCCTCACTGTATGGAGGGGAGTTCCAGGTGTGCTGCCTGATTAAAAATAAATTCTGATAAGCTTGGAAACCATACGCGTGGTTCAAGAGTTGAGTGCATTAATATATAAAATGAAATATATGATCACTTCATAGGTGAGGAATTTTCATACATGTAATTTCATTTAATTATGAAAGTAACTGTGACAGTCTGGTGTTTTGTTTGTTTGTTTTGTTTTAATTAGATAAACAGGCTCACAATGGCCAGTGATTTGCTCGAGGTCAAACGCAGGAGTGCTGGTATCAGCAGCCAGAGAGACGGCTCAGCTGGGAGTAAGCAGCCAGCTCCAGCCTGCTGACCTGAGCCCAGGGCAAGGTGGAGGGGGGACTGACCCCATAAAGCTGTCTTCTGACCTCTACAGGTGTGCCACAGTACACACCAGCTCCACATCACAAATTCAATAAAAAAATTCAAAGTGACAGCATCGACATCATGGTACCCATTTTACAACACAACCACCACCCATGGAGTTAATATCGTACGGCAAAGGACTCACATAAAACTCCTTTCTCGTTCTGTCTTTGTCTGCCCATAAGCTTATTTATTTAATTAGGAATTTGTATCTTAGGTCAGGATAAGAAACTACTCACTATAAGATGTAAGAGTTATGAAACGGAAACATAAATAATGCTTTTATTCAATATAAGAATAGTCAAAACTGGAGCCAATATTCTTAATCATACTCTCAGTTATAACAACAGAATCTAGAATTGTTCATTCTCTCCTGTACACATAACAGTTACATGCCTTTCCCCTCCAATCTAACACACACAGAGAATGTGGGGGTGTTGAGTGAAATGATCCATGGAAGGCTCTTGGTAGAGTTCTTGGACTTCCAGGGGCTCACTGTCTACCAGGTAGACCTCTATACTAGAAAAATGCAAAAAAGTATGACTTTCTTATAACCTTAACAACACTTACATGCTGTGAGTACATCACTGAAACAGTACTCAGTGGGGCACTCACTCCCAAAGCATTCTTAGCCACATTATTTCACCCAGGTTTCATCCCTGTACATGACAGAACCAGGCCCAGGAGAACTGAAAACGAACCGGAAGATCTATCCTATCTCCAAGGTGATTATAAGTTTTGGGAGGGTCGGAGATCAACAGCAAACCTCTTATGACACAAGGCACACGCTCAACCCATCTCACAAACAACCTGCAAGGCTGAGTGAATGGATGGAGGATTCTGGGGCAGTAGAAGGACACAGACCCTTTCCTGGTTAAACCCACCCACTCTGCCGTGCCAGCGACGTTTGCTGCATGCACCAATGGCCAGAAAAGAGAAAACAAATTCGGGATGCTCCTGCTCAAACCGCATTGTCTTTGTTTCATGTTCTCAAACAGAAATACGTCCTCTAGGCAAAAATGCCAATCTGTCCATCTGACACACACAGTCCACCTTCCCCCCATCTGGGCTGTGGTGCCATCCTGTGCTGAGTCCAGACAGGCTGGCCCTGGCAGAAGCCTTCAGCCTGTTTCAGTTCACCCTGGATCCATCACTGCCTCACGAGCATGCTTACCAGAACAACACAGAAAATCCACAGGAGTAAAGTGGATCACAGAAAATCCACAGGAGTGAAGTGGATCACAGAAAATCCACAGGAGTAAAGTGGATCACAGAAAATCCACAAGAGTGAAGTGGAACACAGAAAATCCACATGAGTGAAGTGGATCACAGAAAATCCACAGGAGTGAAGTGGAACAATTTAGCTAAGTTGGCCTGGGTGAAGAACACAGAGGGAAAAACTGTGGCCACACCAGACTGTCGTTGTCAAGGCTCTGGGCAGCCCTGGATTTCAGGACGTTACAGGCTCCTAGGCCATACAAGGCAAGGAAAGGACAGTAACTCGAGGCTAAAATTGCCACTAATAAAACCCAGCTAGCTTGGAAATACCTGCAGTCGCCACCAGAAGAGCCTTGCGTATTGTTACCGCATGGCTTTTTCACGGGATCCGTGCGTGCATGTATGTGCGACACGGCACTTGTGTGGAAGTCACCGGACAACAGTAGGGAACTGCTTCCCCCTTCACTGTGTGGATCCCTGGGATTGAATTTTAATTCTTAGGCTTGGCAGTAAGTACTTTACCCCCTGGGACATCTCATGGGACCCCAAGTTCTGCTCATAAGAGAAAACGAAATGAGCTCTGTGTCTTTTCACACCAGGGTGAAGAAATCATCTCGAGCCTTTCTGCTTTGCATTTAAAACTAAAGGGGTTGACAACCGGAGCGAGAACCACCGTCAAAGAATCGGGTTTGAATTTCACTACTACTCTCATGGAGTGTGGAGCTGCTTGCCTTTGAAATTGTATATATTTATGCTCCTCCATTTCCAGAGGCCATCTGGACTAAACTTTCTCTTAATGTGGCCCACAAAGAGATGGGAGACTTGAATGAACAGTGCTTAAGAAAATTTACCTGTTAATAGAACAGTGTGCACGTGGCCTGCTGGATCAGACAAAGAAACCCTACCTGGGGAGTAAGGGGGAGGAGTACCTGCCCTCCAGGACAGTTCTACAGCCTTCCAAGTTCTTGGTGTCGTCTGTCACTCCCAGAATGAGCCTTTCATCTCTGTAATTTAAGGACCTCCTGATTCCAGCCCTTCCACTGCTCTCAGGGATTGGCAGTGCTCGCAGTGTGCCACAGGGTGACAACTTTGGGAGCCGCCTGCCTCCACTGTCCTTTCAAGGCAGGAAATAAGCCAGCCACCTTAAAATGGTGTTTAACTCCAGCTTGCTCTGCTCGGGTATTTAGAAACTTTGCTCAGAGAATTGGAACATTCAGAGATAAGTATAGCAAGCTAGGGATGGACGGCTAGCTCAGTCTCCGCTCTGCTTCAGTGGGTCGAAGCCAGATCCTCCTACTTAATAAACTAGCTTTTTGTGGTTAATGACACCCAGGCTGCCATGTCCAGAGAGGAACTGGAGAAACAACAGCTGTACTTGGGAAGAGGTTAATTTTCAATACAGACCTGCCTCTGAGTTTCTTTTTTTCCCCCTAGTGTGGGTGGGGAGGTCTGTTTTAATGATTAAAGCAGTCTGAATTTTAAACTGCTACATGTCACCCATACACACAGTGGAGAAGCTGCTCCTTATGCTACTGGGGGACAATGATAATAAAAACACAATTAAATTTGATTTTAATACATAAACAGATAGGAAGCAAGTTCTTAATGGCTTCTTATTCTGGGGTACCTCATGGCCACTCCACTCCCCTCACATTGGTGACAGGTAAGGCACCGCAGGGGAGGGGGGCGCCCCCATAACAGCTTCTCTTCCTTCTGCCCCAAGAGCTTCAAGCGGCCTTAGTCACTTCATCTGTAAGCACCTACTTACCGGGCACAACACAGGAGTCCCTGCTGTGGGCTCCAAGCCAGGTGGCAGCAGGTCCCTTACCTAAGCTGTGTTGCCCATAAGGAAGCTGTAAAGGATATCCAAACACTGTGGGCATCTATCTGAAAATACGGCACATGGAATAAGCCAGCGCCTCTCATTGCCATAGACGCTGGTGTAATGATTGTTGAGAAATAAATCCATCAGCAAGAGAAGAGATGGATGACAGCCTTCAAGAGTAAAACAAGCAGGAAGGGGGGGACACAGTATGTGTAGGAAGGTAGGGAATCTTGACATAATCTTGGAAATAGTTCTGACTTTTGTCCCGAAGCACAAAATGAAATGCCAACTCCTATCAAAGTTTCTCCATCTCTGTCAATTCTGGCCCCTGCCCGTGTCACCTGGACAAGAGAAAGAGAATCCTCTCTGATGTCTCCCCTGCACCCAGTGTTAGATCCCTTCCACCTTCTACCGCAAACCAAGCAAACTCAAAGCCACATTAAAACAAACACACTGGGACCTTGGGACCAAACCCCATTCCTGATGCCACGATATATAACTGGCTATTAGCCAAGCAGTGACCACGGGGGCTTCATGCACGTGAGGCTAGATCTCATTAGCCCATTGCAGAACTACAGTGGCCACGATCTCCACTTTATGGAACAGGGGCTATGACTTGATTCTGGACTGGCTTGTGCATACCCCTAAAAGGCCTCAGACATGAGCCTTAGCTATCCTGCCGGGCCTCACTGAACACAACTGCTCCCTCTGCTCTCCTTCTTCAGCAGGGCTCGCTTTTCTAGCCTAAGGCTGCTCCCTCCCCCTGCATCTCTGGCGCACACACTCGGAGGCACACTTTCTCTAGTACGCCCTGCTCCAGCCCCTCTCTTGTATGACTGAGCTTTCTGTGTCCTTCAGTTGAGGACAACTGTGCAAGCCTGAGCTCTGTGTCTTCTTACCAGTAACAGTTTTCTTCTCCACTCAGCCTTGAGCTTTCAAAGGCAGCACTAACATTGGTCTGCTTTCTTCACTGTGATAAACTACTGTAAAGACGGTGGAAGGGGGAGGGGGACGTGTTGGCTCAGGTGTTGCAGTCCATGGCCTCTTAGCCCTACCCCTGTCATTATGGGCCTACTGTAAGGTGGAACGTCATGGTGAGGAGGGCACAGCGAAGCCAAAGGCCATGATAGGTTTGGGAGGGAGCGGGACAGACAGGCGGAAGACAGAGACAAGATAAGCCCTTCAAAGATGCACTCCCAGTGACCTCCTTCCTCCAGTGAGGACCCACTCCATAGTTAACTCGCCTACAATCCAATCACGAGTCCATCAATGGATTAATCCACTGATAATGTTCAGAGCCCCTGTGATCTAATCACTTTCAAAAGTCCCATCTCCGAGCTGTGCACTTCAACACACGAACCTTCAGAGGACATCAACTATCAAAACCACACCCTAATTCTGGTACCGCCTGTGCACGCAGCACAGTGGTGTACCAGCAAAAGCCCTCGAGTCCCACTGTCTTACAAGAGAAGTACAGGCCTGCTTTCAGGTGTGCCCACTGCTTAAGTCCCAAGCTACTTTCTGTATATGATGATGCATTGCCAAGGAAAGAGAGAATGAAATCTCCTAACTCACTAGAAAATGAAACGAACCACAAATTCAAAGGAAACCAGTTTAACTTCTTTTACTTTGACCTCAGCAAATTTAACATCTTGGTCACATGTGAGACTGTGGGGTTTCAACAATTCTCACCCAACAGAAGAGCGTGCACACTGACATCCTGCAGCAAAGGGGGTTCTAACCTGCTGAATACGGAAGCACTTACTGGGACTCAAAAGGACGTTGTCATCCTCATCACACCATTTTGTTGTGCTCGTCATAAAAATCTATTAAGAATTTCCATAGGTAATCTTAAGCAGGTTCCAGGCAAAATGTCTTGAGGGGCGTTATACACACACTAAGTTACTTTACCTTAGGCTCTGTGTCTTTTGAGGTAAAGGGATTTACATACCACAGATACAAAATAATTCCTTCAATAATGGAATGGGAAATTAGCCAGAGAGAGTTGTAACCATATCTATACCTAGGGTAATTATCTTGGCTGACACTAAGCACTGGAAATACTTTGTCTATGAGGAACAGGTCTCAGTTTATACTCTCCAAGCATTTCAACACTACAGAAATTCAGAGCAATGTCTCTCTTTGTCAAGTTGTGTTCAAAGTGCTCCAGACAGCAAACACACAAGATATAGGCAGAGATATTCAAATCAAACCAAAACAACAACTTGGGGCGGGGGAGATGGCTCAGCAGTTAAGAGGACTTGCTGTTCTCCTAGAGGACCCACGTCTGCTTCCCACACCCACACAGCAGCTCACAACCACTCTTAATCCCAGTTCCCGGGGATCTGACCCCCTCTTCTGACCTCCGTGGGCACCAGGCATGCACATGGGGCACAGACACACATGCAGGCAAAACAGTGACACACAAAATAAATCTAAAAACAAAACAAAACAAAACAAAACTTTGCCCAAATCTTTACTCCTTTTTCCAATCAGGAATGCTATTGGGAAATGGTAACAAAATCAATTCTATCCACTAGGGAAGGAAGGAAGTAGGCCTTCACGTGGTGCCTTCCTAAAGTGGATACTCATCTAACTTAAGCATGGTTCATGGAGCCAGAGTGAGGATAAACACAAAGCCCCGCCGTTTATATAGCTTCCAGCCAGAGCAGAGATGAAACGGTAACAGGGTGGCTCATGTTACCTTACGAGTTGCATTAAAATGCAGGGATCTCATGGAGGCTCAATTTCTCTTCCACTAAAGAAAACATTTGCTCCTTAAAGTAATACACACCCAGCCAACAATCAGGCTTCTATGCTGAGACCAAGCAGTGGCTCTTTGTGTTCACAGACTCAGTGCATGGCCAGTTAAGTAACAGGACTACTCTTCCTCTTAGCTCTCTCCAGGAGAGTCACCTTACACCGGCCTGAAGCACACACAACCCTTTTTTTCAGTCTGTAGCCCACCCTTTTAGGTCCCACCATCAACATCCTTTACACCTTCCCGCATCTCAACAGCATTAGTTATCTTTGCCTAACTACATAGCAAAACGCTACTTGAAATTCAGAATGTCCTAACAACATTGCCCGAGGCTACAATCACAAGCCAGCCCCCCAATCTCCTTTTCTTCATTTCAAGTTCTAAGGGTCTTAAAATTCATAAGTTATAAGAAAGATTTCTGAACAAGCCTGAATTGGCTGAGTTAACATCTCACTGAGATTTGAGATTCACATATCTTTATAAAACAAAAACACTCAAAAAGAGAATGAACTCAAGTGATGCTGAGATATAAAAAGGAGACATTGAAACAGAGAAGTATCAACACCGCTCCTGACTGTGACAGTGTGACCCAAGAACGACATCGTCTCCATAACTAGGAGATAACAACGCACATCAGCTCACTTCTCAGGCTTCTGGAAAGGAAACACCAAGATGGGCATCAGGCCTGAGAGACCTCACCAGGGAAGGTGACACTATGAAGAAGTGTCACTTCACCTCAAACAGCGGGGGCTCAGAAGGCCTGTCCCCCAGTAGCAAGTGAGTCAAGTGAGAGTCAATATGTGGTTCTGAGCCAGAAGAAAAGCTGGCCCTACCAGTCATGTTTATTCAGCACCAACGGTACCTCGACAGAAGGATGTTGCAATTCTGAGCTCTCCGACCATCAATCACTGACAGTTCTTTGACTTTGAGTTTGGAACTCAGTGTGTCATCAATGGCATCTGCTTCTTTCTGGAAAGAACACAAGAGAAATCCATCAGAGTCAAATGGGGACACTCCGACTTGAGACGCACACTTTTCTTCCACATTTTCTGTTCACACGCACACAATGCTCACATACACACATGGGCCGAGCTGCGATGAGGAGGCGATGTTGGGAAGGGGGTGCAATCAAAACAAAGGCTACTCTCCTTGGCAAAGAAAATAAGAAGAGCTGACCACCCACATCTGAAAAAGCATTATTTAGAAGAACAGAATGCTTCCAAGTTGAAGATGTGAAACAACGTGCATAAATTATCAGTGAGAGGTGCCATCCTTTTGTCCCTCAAATCTCTAGGGACAGCGGACGGAAGAACTGTCACTGTGAATCAAGCTCAGCAGAGCCTTGTCATTACTGGTCCAGTCACTTATTTACAGGGCACATTCACCCCAGAACCATCTGCAAACTTAGCTGCCAAGAAAGCGGAGCAATAAAACCACCAAACGCCTTCATGTATAACAGGAAGTTCCCAAAGGCCAAATGTACCTTGCATTTCCCAAGCCTGACAGAAGGACAATGGAGAGGGGGCAGTTGAAGAAATCTCTTTAGTTACCCGAATTAATAAGCAAACACTACTTGCATATTTTATCTACATATTCATTCACGATGGCCAGACATAACTAAGGCGACACAGGTATAAAACAATTAGATGCAAAATACATGTGAGGTATTATATTAACACAAAGTTCAAGGTGAGAACACAGACTACCTCGGTAAGTAGCCAACTTATTTCATTAGTGGTTAGAGACTTTCAAAAATGTATTATGGCAATTAAAAAATATAAAGAGACCAGAAAGCTTTTGAACTGTGTAACAGTTTAGGAAGCCAAGGCAGTTTGAACCAATAATGGAGCACCAGGAGGCTAAACAGCAAAGGTCTCTTGTGCTCAGATTTCAGGCATACTTTTAGACAGTCCAGTTAAGAGTCGAATCCCAAAGTGGAACCGCTAGGCATTGAATTCCACTATTTAACAAGATAGCCGGGGCACTTCAAGCTTACAGTGAGCCACGGAGTTACGTTAAGTAAGGGTTATACAGTAGCTTACTTACCTGCTTGGAGTTACTGTTCACAAAGAACTCCTACAGCCATGGCAGAGGCATAGAAAAAGCAAATCAGATACATGCAGTTCAGAAACTAGAGCAGCAAATGGGGAAAGTCAAGGCAGTCAAGGAACTGGTGGTGCAGGGGAGAAAGCAGGAGATGCTTCCTGCCTTGCAGTCATGAACTCAAGTGAGCCTGTCTGGCTGAAGACACAGTAAAGATCACAGTACCAGACATTTGGTGTAAAGGAAGACAACAGATGGCATTTGCTACATTCCGCTTCGAGTGGTAGCAAATCAGATTCAGGAAAGAAAGGGCTTAGAAGGACAAGCTAGGAGTACAAGTCTTCTTTAAAACAACCACCAGGCTCCCATTTATGCAATGTGGTATATGCACGTATGATGTGGCGCACGCACACACACACACACACACACACACACACACAGGGCGCTCAAAACCAAGGCACGTGCACACATTAGGCAAATACTCTACCATTGAACTATACTCCCAGCCACCATGTTGAATTTTTAGTTAAAACAGAGATTGCCAATTAAATTAATCAGTATGTCTGAACAATGGCCACTGCTATAGAAAATGTGCTTTTCTTTTGGTGGGAATAACCTGTCTTCTTGTATCATCAGGAAGAGTTAAGAAAAGTAAGTGGAGCAACCTAAGTAAGGCCAGCTCAAGTACCCTGGAGGGTCCAAACCACGGCAGCAGGTGCTGTGTGTGTGTGTGTGTGTGGGGGGGTGGCAGAGGGCACAGCACATGCAATTGAGAAACCACTAACTCAGTTGGTAGGCATGTCTCAGTGGTCTCTGGGCTGGTCAAGCATACAAGGTCACAGCTCCTTCTTGAATGAGTTTTTAGAAAAGTTTTGGAGCGAAGATGGGAAAGAGGAACTAATGGCATGCTACAAGGAAGTGGTAGCTTTTCCTGCATACTTTTACAGGGCAGGAATGAGCAAAGCTTCAGAGCACAAAACACACCGCAGCTTTCGGGCCGACTGTGTGTGCACCAGCGTTTGCTCAGCGGATTCCTTCAGGTCTCCCTGGTCTCGGCAGCACTGCCAAGGCCAGTTTTAGACAGGCGAACATTCTTCTAGTGGGAAACAGAGTGAGTCCTCCCCTTGGGCTGCCCACACCGGGAGGACTACTTCGCTGGAAAGGCATTTAAAAAGCAAGCTGACAACCACAAGAAACGTGTCTTCTGCCCGATATCCTAGTTTTCTTTTGCTCGTTATGATTCAGATCTTCTACTCTGAGGCTCTTTAGGACTCTTCCAAAAAAAGCAGTGTTAAGGGCAGAAGGCTATGGTGAAATGAACCCTGTGAAGTCAGCTTAACCGAAGAGAAAGTACTCCTTTAGATTAGATCCTGCTCTCATGCCTACTCTTCAAAAAAGAAATTTTTATGGAGGCTTCCAGGACCTCACATTACACCTAAAATTCATTCACTGTTGCGAAAGGAAGACATCTGACCTCTGGTATGACAGTCTATGGAATCAGGCAGCTAGCTGTCATTTCCTGGCTGTATGCCCGGAGGTGAACCAGTCTACCGTCTTTTATCAATGAGAAGGGTAAACGTGATAAGGCAAGTTAAACTTCCTACGCAGTATCAGACACATCGTTATAAGCCCCAAATCTAGAAGCACACACAAGACGTAACTGTTTTAGCTTTAGAACTGACAAGTCACTTTCCCACTCTGCTCTTCTTTTGGCTGAGTGGTAGAGTGGTTGGTCCGGATCTTCCATCTGTAACCATGAGCAGCAATAAGCATGGGCGCTAATAGCTAAGTGATACATCTCACCTTTCCAGAGAGGGTGAAGAATGCCACGTGAGGGCTCGGCAATTGCTAGCCTTAAGACAACACTTCTTTGAAGACCCAGTAATCAGCATATTACAAATAAAATCACAAATAGGATGGGTTTTATTAGGTGGGGCGCACTAGAAATAATGAAACTCCCAGGTTCATTTCAAGTATGCAAAGATTCTGTTTGAAACTTTATTCCCTCGGAAATCAAAGGGTAATAGAAATGATCTTGGAATATAAATATGAGGTTGGTATTTGTATTTTCAGGGACCAATGCTTGTAAACTACTATAAATGGTTTCACAAAGAAATGATGGCCCAACCTTGCATAGAAAATGATAATCCTTACATGAACGGATCTTAATCCTTTCAAATTGAAACATACGCTAAGAATTACATACAATCTTGTATTTGCTAACTCTTACCGCGGAAACTAGGTACAGACCCTCAAACTACACTTAAAAATTGGGTTTACTTATTTCTGTGTATGTGTGTGTGTTGTGTGTGTATGTGTGCGTGTGTACATGGGTACCCCCATGCCATAACATATGCACAGAGTCAGAAGACAATTGTGGAAGTCTGCTCTCCCCTTCTACCACATGGGTCCCCAGGGTTTGAACTCAGGTCATTTGGCTTGGTGGCAAGTGACTTTACCTACTAAACCATCTGTCCAGCACTACAGTTAAAAAACAAATGAACAAACCCAACAGCAAGTGTCACAGTTTTTCTTGTCTTTAAGTACTAAGACTGAGAATCATGACGACGGGGACCTGGGGCTACAGCTCAGTGACAGAGCCCTTGCTTAGTGTGTGTGCATGAAGCCCGAGACTCTGTCCCCAGTGTGCAAAGCCAAAGCAGAACGAGAAAATTGACATGGTTGAAGGAAAAAAAAAACTGTTAAATGATTTTTTCAATGTGAAAGTCAGATGCAGACTAACTTAACTGTAAAAAAGAAATATAAAAAAGGAAAAATTCCTTTACGATTCATAAGGAACCTGTAGCTCACCTGGATATTCCAAATGAGACCCTGAGGACTTACGATACTACACTCTCACAGGAGAGCTGGAGAATGGGGAATGGAGCCTGGGCCAGTAGCTGCTCTCCTTTGTTCCCTAAGTCAAAGGAGCGTGGCTTTGAAATGGCCACTCTATGGTGAGCACAGGCTCCTGAAAGAAGAACTGTCCTCAGGCAAAGGGCAAGAAGGAGGGAGACACTGTGAGCTGCTAGTGGGCTGCTAAAGAGTAATTCTACTTCCAGGCAAATGTGGTGTTTTTAGCTCATTTTCCCTCCATCTGACTGCATAGATACGAATTGATAGCATGTCAAGGTGAAAATTTCCCATTAAAGATGTGAGGACTACTCAACTTTATCTGAGTAAAACTATTACACAGCATCTAATGTTAGGTATTAAAAACTGGTCTCTTGTGGCTATCCTGGAGATCGTGTGTAACGCAGTTCCAATGAGAAAAAGGTCTTCAGATTCAAGGGATTGACTTTCAAATGAACTTGTGGAATGTGCACAGGGGAATAGCTGCACGCTATTAACTCCATTTCATGGGAGGCATAAGCTTACATAATCGGCTCTCTACACCTTTAATGCATGCACTTACAAAAAACCCACTCCCCACAGTCTGGTAGTGGTAATGAATAAACCACAGATTAGAGAACAAAGGGAGACCAAGAACTCTGCACTCTGTACTCCTGGGTGTCACCTGTTGGGATACTGAGTACACACTAAGCCCTATTTTCAGTATCTGTAATATCAGAATATTACGTCCCTCCTAGAGCTGGGGTGAGAATTGAATAAGAAAGTAAGTACAGGAGCTCCTTGAGCACTAAATTTTAGGGTTGATGTGATTAAGAACTGTTTATATCACCTAGTGCCAGAAAAATAGCTAGTTTTCAATAGTGACCACCATCTTGGTCCCTGTGACAGTTACTTATGGTTTTTCCCATCTCTGCTTTATAGGATAAATATATTGTGGTCCTATGTAAAGGTTGAATGTATTTGCATCATTTGAATCCTTTGACACACTAAATAGAATAATTCTCAAATCAATTGATATATTTTATATATTTATGTAGATGTGTGTTTATATATACATGCATATATACATTCCCAAAGTGTCACTCCTTATTTAAATCATGCTAATCTGATACTGCTGTGTTATCTCCAAATTAGGCTCTGAGGGTCCTATGGTACTGACGTTTTTGTGTTCCTCTTCCTGCCTGAAAAATTCATCTACACAAAGAAATGGCTGAAGTCCAGAATGTGACCAGTTTCATAGCTTTATATGAAGGAAAAAGATGACAGAAAAGATGGGTTCTCGATATTCATGTGGTACTAGAAATAAGAGCGGTTTAAATGTGGTGCTAATTGCGCAATGTGCTGCCATGCCTGGAATGAACATGCACAGGTCTCTGCTGTTGCCGCTCTGGGATGAAGGACTAGTCAAGTGGCAGGCGCTCCACCTCATTTACTCTGATCTACACATTACAATTGAAATGCCCGTAGCTTTTCATTTTCTGACTCTCAACAATGTAAATGCAATGAAATGGCTCAAGTTACCCTCATTTGGAAAATAGAGTGATGGTTTCTCTTCTATTTTTATAGCAGAAGGGAATATTTAAAATACTCAAGTGGAACGGGTGTGTTGAAATTGTCCTTCAGAAAGTATTGCTGGAAATAGTGATGCCCATCCTCCTCACCAGTGTACCCATGTTAGGAAGAACTGAAACATTTGGTCCATGCAGTCAGGGATGACTACTGACTACTTAAACAGTGGTGGTTGCTAGGAGACAGTTACTCAGTTGCAGAGCTTTCTGCAATTGTGTCTCCCAGAACTCTTGAAAACTGTCCACATATTTGTCCCAGAGCATTTGGCAGCATCCTTCTGTCCTTTCTGCTGAAAGCCAGTTAATTATGAGGCTTGTAAACTCGGGCCTTTCAACCACCTGCCTTCCTCACAAATGCAACCGACATGCTCAGACTTGAATGCACTGTGTGGAATACCTGCAGCTTTCTCTCCATCTCATCCACTTTTCTGAGTTTCCAATCCTTCACCTCAGACAGCCTCAAGTGTGGAGGAAATGGGACTTGTAGCCAGATCAGAGGATTACTTGAATTACTTGGAAATCTGCTAAAATGTTATGCCAAGGTGCAGGGGCCTCCTTCCTAGGACATCAGAGACGGAAGAGGCACCAGCAGCCAATGAGGGACGATGACTATGGGCACAGGAACTACAGGACAAGAGCTCCGAACACACCTTAGTTTGTTCTTTGAAATGTAAAGTGTACTGTTCTCCTCCGAACAAGCCCTCACCTCCCTTATCCTCACCTCCCCTTCCTTGGTGCCTCCAGCGCTCAGCATGGCATCGTCTCACTTACGAAGGGGCTGGCTTCAGGCTTCGGGCTCCATAGCACCATGGCAGGCAACTAACCTTACTTTCCTATTCTACTGAACCAGCACAAAAGGCCCTGCACAGACGCTTACCCTCTCTTCCAGCAAAGTCCTCTAGTGAATAACACCCCGTCTCCCAGGCAGCCACATAAAAAACCATCCTGAAAAGAGATCCCACCTTAGTTTCTCTGTAGCCTCTGTCCATCTCCTTGGTGCCTAGCACTTCTTTTTTGAGATATTCCTTCTGAGGGACTGAGCCAAGAAGGCAGACCAGGAAGTCTTCTGCTTGTTTAAGCCCTCAGGACACCCCTGTGCAGATGCCCAGCACCTGTGTTTGCCCATCCAAATGCAGTGTGCACTGTTCACAGGTCCTCTCCATTAGTCCGCCTTAAGAACCTTTCACTCCATACTCCTGGGCTCAATTTTCCCTTCTCCAGGACTCTGGTTGATTTTAACTCACTTTTTCTTTGTTCCCCTGAACTCTCTATTTCTAGCTACCATGTTCTAACTTTCGGCCTACACTTTAGACCTTTGGAGGAAGCCTTCTAGAGCAACGTGAGAGTCTACACAGATATGAGCAGGCCTCATCAGTGTGTGCAGGCAGTGGGCACCACACCGCATGCTCTTCTACCATTATGGAAGTGTTAGTAGTAGCCTCTCTGGCTCTACTGGTATCACTGACATTTTCATACTTGCTCAGCTTGGGCAACCCCACTAATGAACCTATAATGTTCATGACATTTGGTTCAAATTCCTCTGTAGAGTCTATTTAGCTGCCAAATTACAGTTTTTACAAAGCCTCATACTTCTAAAGAGTCCATCAAGTCTAAAAAGCATTTGGATTCTGAGACTAACCATTTGATATTTCTTTTAACTCAGACAGCCCAGAATGGTTTCAGAAACAATAGTGTAAGGTGACACTATTGTTCTTAGATTTGAATAGGCACAGACAAGATACAGTGCTCTCTGTACATACAGAAAGAAGACCTTGGACATATACTATGATAGGAAGCTTCTCCACAGAGAGTCCACATGCCTTCAAGTAGTTAGCATGCACTGATGGCCACTGGACACACACATGGACATGTAGTTATGCCGCTCTGCAGGACCACATCAGGGGAGAGCAAACATCATGAGCACCAAAGTGCTTGTGAGTCACGGTTCCAGCGGATGGCCCAGGGATCATGCATAAGGACACAGTATTTTGGGGCATCTGGAAGGCACGTGTTACCTGCTGTCTTTGGTAGGCAGAGAAAGTTCTTTCTAGGTCTTCAAGGTCTAGAAGTTTGAAGACTTTGGTATCATCGATTTCGGTCCATACTGTTCCTTCCAATTTGTTCTAGAAACATCAAGTTAACAAGGTTTATGATTGACAGTCATACAGAAAAAAAGTGTTTTGTTTTGTTTTTTAAGTACTACTATTTCAAATTTTTAATTCTACAGGATGCTTTGGCAAGCTGGTTTGAAACCATGTGTAATTATTTCAGAGACATTACCAGCTAAGACAGGAGCTGGGGGGAACCCTGAGTCCACACTAGATGGCCAGGCTATCCAGCAGCAGGGACATTTCCCCCTCTGTGAGGACACTGAGCTTCAGGTACCGTGCACTGATCACTCATGGGACATGGGGACAAACGGCTTACCTCAGGCAGCTTAGACCAGTTGAAGGACTTGAGTGCGTTGGTGGGCTGGGGAATGTTTTTCTTCTTGAGGGTCAGACTCACTGGGGCACCGGGAGGTGGCAGGAGTCCCCCTAAGGGAGGAGGCCCTGGGGGAGGGGGAGGACCCCCAGGAGGGAGGGGAGGTGGTGGAGGGGGAAGGGCTCCACCTGGAATAAGTGGGGGTGGTGGGGGAGGGAGAAGAGATCCAAGCCCAGAGGAAGGAAAGGGTCCCCCTGGGGCTCCAGGTGAGGGTCCTCCTGGGACTGAAGCACAGACAGCCCTCTGGAAAGAGAAGATCAAGAAGAATCAATGGAAGAAGAAAACTCACTGGATGACTTCAAGACTCTAATCTCATCTAAGGAACAGGCAACAGTGTACCCACATTTGCCAGAACGTGGGTTTCAAGGGTGGGTAAGTCAAACGGACCTTCCTGGACCCTCTCGTCCTTCGACACATAAGTGCTTATTGGTGGAGCCTTTCTCTGGCTCACTTGCACCATCCTACAGTTTGGTTTTCATGGCACCCCTTTTCTAAGCAACTAATGGGATGATTTCCTTTGTTCTTAGGACAAGATTGGTGGTCAAAACTCAACCCCAAACCACCTCTGCTACCGAAGCCACAGGATGCTGGTGGTTCGAGGCCACTACTGAGGTCAACCGTGAAACATTTCCGAGCTCATTCCTCCATCAGAAGTGTCTACTCCAGCGCAATAGGCCCAGAAGAACAGGGTCCGGACCCCCCAGGACAGGAGGCCGGGTCTCAGCCCTCACCCTGCTGAGCTCGTGGAGCTGCGCTGTGAGGTCTGCCACCTGCTGCTTGACTTGCTTGTGCTCCGTGGTCTCCTTTTCGAGCTTCTCTTTCATCTTATTCAGGGTCTGCATCATCTCCTCCTTCTCTTGGGTCTTGGCGTCACACTCTCTCTCCTTCTTCTCCAGCTTCTGCTGCAGCTCATTGTGTTCTGTACGAGAAAGCGGGACAGGAAAACAGTCCTCAGAGATGGAGCACTTGCTTTAAAAGAAAAAAAAAATGGGCTGCGGATGATGTAGAGATTGTGGGTCAGCTTGCCCTAGGCCCCAATCTTCTTCCCCACAGAAGGGCAGCTCAAGAGCTAACCAGTGCTCATGCTGGGATCAGGCCTCATACAACGAATTTAGCAACTACATTTTGGGAAAGACCAAAGAAGAGGCCCCAAGGCCGTGGTTCTAAAAATGGGAGGGAACAACGTTTGAGCGACTTCTCCTGGAGAACGCTATCTTGATTCTGAGTCCTGACACAGAGGTGGCCTAACAGCTCCACCAGGGGAAGGGGCTATTAAAAGAAGGCCCCTTCTCACACATTAGAAATGGGGCAGCGAGAAGCCCAGCCCTGGGGAATGATGTGTTGGCTTTGTCCCACTAGCAGGAGAAGGATTCTGTGCTGCGACAGATCGCTGCTGGCAGGCCTCTGTGCACTCTGAGCTGAGGTATGTCTCCTGCCTCCTTGGAGGGCTATCTCAGTCCTTTCTGCTTCTGGCAGTCAACATGAAAACCATGTTATTGTCTCTGCATTCAGTATCTTAAGGGTAGCCGTGCTGATTAGGCACGGGAACCACGGGACTGAGAGGACAAAAGGGAGCTCTCCTCGGCTGTGGTAACTGACTTTCCCAGGTGTGGTGTCATGGACGACGGGGCATGGATTTCAGAGTGACGGTGTTCATGCTGCCAGTGATTATAAGCCTGCTGACAGGAGGGACGGGCTTCGGAAAAGAGAAATGATGACGTTTAGGCTGCAAGTTCTTATTTCACACACTTGCCCTCGGTGCCTCTTCTTTTCACATCAACAAATGCGTGTGGGATACAGCCCGCTGGGCTGGGCTACACACAGCCGGGCTCTACTTCTCAACTGGAGAACACGTTTAGGCTCTTACTGTCTCTTTCCACCTTCCCTCCTCTATGGCTCCCCGAAATGGAATTTGCAGGAAGGTGTGAGCCATTAAATTCCTCGAGTCTTGTCAGCTTCCAAATTACAACCCAAGCCCTTCAGTCCCATTTACCACTCCCCGATGGCTGACTTCGGGTCCACATTTGAACCACCTTACTGTGTTCCATTTTCCTTCTTCTCTCTCCACTTCATTCATCACTGATAATGAAGAGATTAGGAACGTTCCTTCCCCTCTTTCATGATTCGCCTTTGACAAATCTGGCTATGCCTCCGATTCGGTGAGCGGTCCTAACATTTCAAGATCCCTGTCCAAAGCCCTCTGCAAGCAGTCTAAACAGCAGGCGGGGGCAGGGCTTAGGAAACAGGTCAGAACCGGCTCCTTGATGGTCCTAAGGTAACGGCAGCTTTAGGAAGTGCCAGGCTGAAAACCGTCTCCTAAACTAATATCACGTACTATCCAGTCACTGAGCTTTTACAGATCCTTCTCAGGGTCCTGTGCTCCATAGACTTCTCCCTCAAATAGTCTCCCACGTGTAGGTCCAAACAACTTCCTATCTCCTCCTTTGAAATTGTCAACGATTCAATCTAACTTTGCTAGCTGAAGCTTCCAGAAGAGAACTCATCTTATCTGTAATTTCTCTTCTCGTCTGTTGTATTGCAACTTCCCTCCCCACCCCATCTTCCCACCGACCTTGGGGACTCTCTCCCACACCACCCGACCTCCGAACCCTGGAATGCTTTCTAGCATTTGCTGTGTATTTCGTATGTGCTGACGCTATGCTAACTTTCCAGTTCTTTTCAATGTAATCTTCACAACAACCCGCGAGTGAGGTTCACTCCCCATGCTGTGGAAGAGGGGAATCACCAGAGGGGAGAAGAAGATGTCATTGCTCACAGGAAGGAGGTTAGAGTTCAGACTCCCACTGAGAAGCAGCACAGCTCAAGACACCAGAGATTCGGGTATCCCCTGAATGTATGATTGGACAGTTCAAAATCTCACGTCCCAAGTGCTCTTGACTGCAAACCTATGCATTCTAAAGTACGCTCTTAACCATCTACTCACTGGCTGTTCCCATCTGCTTTTGGTAGCTGTGATAAACATGACTAAAAGCATCCTAAGTAGGAAAGGGTGTTTTCGATCTTATACTTCAAGGTCACAATCGAGCATTGAAGGAAGTCAGTACAGGAACTTCCCAGGAGCTTGAAGGTAAACTACAAAACACTGCTTGCTGGCCTGCCCTCAAGCTCACAGTCAGCTACCTTTCCTATACAGCTCAGACCTACCTGCCTAGGGACGGCACTGCCCACAGTGAGCTGGGCCCTCCTACATCAATCTGCATTCAAGAAAATGCCTCAGAGACATATCCACAGGCCGATCTGATCAAGGTAACCCCCAAACTGAGACTGCCTCAGATAACGCTGGCCTAAGTCAGGTGGCCACCGAGGCTGACTAGAAAACGGACTATATTTATTCTTTCTCTATGGCTCAATCTCTCGTTTTATCTTAGTCCTAGTCAGGGCTTTGCTTCTCCCCATCCAGAGCAGGTTCTGGAATGTACTGTAAAGACGATCTGAGAGCCATGTGGGTGAACAGCAGGCCCAGGGAGCACAGCAGAGCTGACGTTTGTCTCGCCCAGTCAGTGGCTCTGGGAAAATGTGGTGTGGGGAGAGGGGGTGCCCAGGCAGCTCTGGACCACTTGTTCAGATGCTTCAGAACATCAGATGCTGGATTTCACTGGCTGCGACTGAATGGCTGTGATGAGTGGAGCAGTCCATCATCCAGTGTGGGGAGGAGTGCGGAGGTGAGACTGCTTTCCCAGAGGTGACTTTCATTGCTAAGATTCTGAAGGAGGGAGGGAAGCTGTAGGCTTCTGCGCGTGGCCGGCACCAGGAGGAACACAAATGTCTCTCCCATCAGAGCCTGACTGGCAGCATCAAAGGCAGAGTCTAATACCACATGTCTGTCTCCACAGTGACTACTGATTTCCTGCAGGATTTCTCTTTCTATGACTGGGCCCACATCAGAGCCGCGGAGAGAACCGAACTGCTGAGACCAGTGCTCAGCCCGCGCTTGTGTCCTAAGAGTCTGCAGAAATCCTAGGCTTCTTGTATTTATTCAACCTCAAATACTTTAAGTGAAGGGCAGCTGTGGGGCAGGGACTTGCATGCTCAGTAGTTTTGAGCTAATGAATTCTTTTAAAAAATAATTTGTATGTGTGTGTGTGTGTGTGTGTGTGTGTGTGTGTGTGTGTGTGTGTGTATGCATATGTGCATGGGGGCTGGGAACACACACATATGTGTAAGTTAAAGGTAAGAGCCAGTTCTTTCCTTCCACTATGTGGGTCCTGGGGATCAAACTCAGGCTGTCAGGCTTGGAGGCGAGCACTTTTACCCACTGAGCCATTGTAGGAGCCCTTAAAAAAAGAAAACAAAACAAAACCCCACAACTGTATTTCTTTGTTTTCAATTCCTGAAGTCTGAGCAATAAATGTCCCAATCTTTTCTAAAACTCTTCCAGCATAATAAAACAAAAGTACGAAGGAGCTGGGAAACAGCAAGAGAACGGAATGGTTTGATTTTAAAAAGTCAACCCCGCCCGAGTGCCCTAGGACGTGAAAAAGGAAAGGCTATTGATGCACAGAAGTGAGCACGAAGCCGTGATGAGAAGTCCCCGGAGCGCAGCCACCCCCGCCAGGGCCTTGCCGTTTACCTTTTCTCATTTTCTCTGCCTGTTCTTTCCACTGCTTGACTTCATTTTCATTAACCAGCCTGCAGAATAGTTAAAGGGACACTTGTTACAGAGAACAAAACATGCCCCCCATTGCCAAACGTGTTGGGCACACACACAGGGTGCTGCAGAGAGGCCTCGGTGAAACCCAGGTGTCACTTGGCCACAGTGCATGGGCTGATCTGTAACGCAGTTTGACCCTAGCACGTTTCATCTGCCTCAGCTGTATCCTGACGTAGGAAAGTGAGGGTCCCCCATTGCCACCACGACCTCACAGACATCAAGGTGAGAAGAGACTTACATTCTTACGACGTTCTTAATATTAAAGTTTTCCAAAGGTGTGGAGTCGGGGTCCTGTCCTTTGTCATTCTGGATAACTATTTGCTGTATGATTCTGTCTAGCAGCAGCCAGTACTGAACTGTGTTACCACTTCTCTTGTCTAAAAGGGAAAAGAGGGAAAGACACAACCTTCAAGCTGTTTGTAAATTAGGATGAGTAGTTTTCAAGAGCAGACACCCGTGGAGACACAGATCTGATCACGAGGCACACTCCACACCCCTTCCTACATGTGTTGTGAGGCATGCATTGGTTTTGAAATCCAAGTAAATTGTAGGTCATTTCATTCTGAGGATTTTGTAACTGCCCCTTTTCTGTGAGGAAACAAACACTGGGAAGCCACAATGCTGTGGCTTGGGGTCCCTGGGATGCACCCAACCTAGTTAGTACTGTCGAGAAGATGGAACCGTCGGGACGCTGTCCCCGCTCTCCATGGCTCCCACAGCCCTACCACTCACAAGGCATCTGGAGACAATGGTGCAGAACGGACATGAAGTGCGGGTAGGCTTCACTGTGAGTCAGCCTCTTCCTGGTCAGCTCAAACATCTGAGTGGCACTTTTTGTGTCTATGTGGACCTATTTCACAGGGAAAACAAACCTGGATCAGACAGCAATGTCATGATTCCCATCAGAGGGAGAGTGCACGCACACAGACACAAGCGGACCCTTGGGTAGCACAACAGGGCTTCTTCACCTTTGCTCACAGGCTGCACCGGCCCCGCCAACACAGAACATGCATTTCAAGAGGCTAACCCTATCATCTGACGAGTCACACAGAACAATGATAAGAACACATACCAGCTCAAATCTTTTGGCAAATTCTAGTTCATCTTCATTTCGGAGCATTTCAAAAAAGTCTAGATGCCTGAAAGGTAATTGAACAAAAATTAGTAAAAGTGGAACATCTCACAAGCTCAAGTACAAAGGACTCAGGATGTTCAAGTGTAGGCCTAGGCACACTGTGGTAGTGTACTGATGTGAACCCATCACTCAGGAGGTAGAGAGAGGGGCAGCCCAAGCTCAAGCCCAGGCTGGCTGCACAGTTGAGTGCCTGGCTCAGAAAGCAAAGGCAGGGGATACAGAAGAGTAGAGAGTGAGTGCATCACATGTAAGGCCCTGGGGTTGACCCTCCGGCCCGCAAAGACAGATTAAAAAGGCCCTTCCTGATTTTTAGAGCTGTCTACAAAAGAAGCATGGTGCTGGGTGGTGGTGGCTCATGCCTTTAATCCCAGCACTCGGGAGGCAGCGCCAGGCGGATCTCTGTAAGTTCGAGGCCAGCCTGGGCTACCAAGTGAGTCCCAGGAAAGGTGCAAAGCTATACAGAGAAACCCTGTCTTGAAAAACCATGTTCCTTCTAAGGAAAAAAACAAAACGTATCTGAGCTAAATAAGAGAAAAAAAAAAGAAGGAGAAGAAAAAAAAAGAAAACGTAGGGCTCATAGCACATAGTAAGTAATTATCAAATGAATGAATGCTTATCAAATCTAAAAATTGTCCAGATTCAACTGCTGACTCTTTCATGGAGAAACAAGCCCATTCCCCACACGTGACTTGCTGTTGAGTTACAAATCAGAAAAGAACTATTCGTGTGCTTCATTTATTTGTGCGAGTTTTCATGAACCTCCACTCCGAGATCTGCAGTCCAGGGATGATGTCGTTTATGAGGACAAACACACAATGGTAAGAGGAGGGAAAACAGAGAAGGGAATAGAAGCTGAAATGGGCACTCTGCAGAGTAAGGGAACAAGTGATCGGAACATCTGTGAAAGGTGTTCGAAGGCAAAGAAACACTAAATAGAAGGGCCGAGATAAGTGTGTTTGGGCCACCTCCATTGACTGTCACGGAGAAGGGCATGCTGGGGTGTGGATGAGGGAGACAGCGGCGGAGGCAAGCATCTGCAAGCTGGGGATGCCTCAGAAATGGTAACAACTGAACAGTGGCTGGGGACTGGCACTCAATAAAGCTTCTAAGTGATTCCACAGGTCTCAGAGGCGGTTCTTACGACAGAACTAGAGTCCAGCTGCCATCGACATCATTACCATTTTTATAGGTATTAAAAATACTAAGTTCAGAAACTGTGAGTAACTTCAGCAGGATACATAGCAGAGGCAAGACCATGGCAGGACAGACTGGGCCACATGAAGCTCTCTATGCCACACTGCTTCCCTCACTGATGAAGTGTCACCAACAGACCATAATTTGAAGTAACAGGCTGTGCAAGCTCATGATGTGACAGGCAGGCTGAAAGCAGCCCATGGGCTGGCACTTCATCTGCTACAGGGTCATGTGGTGGATACTGCATGGAGCCTCTCAAGCTGGAACAAGTACGACTTACCTGTCTAATGTTGAATTTTCATGTTCCCTTAATTTATCTATAACCGGTTGAATTCCTAACATCAAAAATTCATAACGAAGATGGAGTCGAAAATCCAAACTCTCCTGAAAATAAAAGGGGGACATGATACAAAGTTATGGTTTTTCCACTATATAGTCACCACACTGGAAAGGTGTTTTTAACGCTATCCATGTAAGACTGCAGGGCAGAGTTCTTACCACTCCGGCTCCTTGGCTTAGCACTGCATTGATGAAGGACATGATGGCAGTCTTGAGACTCACTTCATCCCGATAACGCCCAGTGCTTTTGTCCAAGTCATTAATTAATGTCTGTCAATTATACAAACAGGAAGTTAATTTTTCAGATATCACTTAGTCAGAATGACACTGATTCACAGACAGCCTCCTCTGTAACTCAGGATTGGGGCTATGAACTCTTTTCCAGGTGTGTGCACAGCAGGTGGACATAAAATACAGGAAACTTTGCTTGTCTCCACGTGCTTTTTACTTTTGAGTAAAAATATGGTAACATAATCTCACTATTATTTTGATCCTAAATAAAGAATAATGACCTGCAAAGTTTTCAGGGAACATTCCACCCCGTGGACTCAAAAGCTGTATGCTACGTAATATAGAGGATGCAGTCACAGATTTTGTTCTAAATTTTATTTTATGAAATGTATTTGTTTCTATTGTATGTGTGTCCTCCCTGCATCTGTGTATGTGCACCACGTGTGTGCTTGGTGCCCAGAGATCAGAGGTCATTAGATCTCCTGGAACTGGAATTATGGATTGCTGTGAATCCCCACGTGGGTGCCGAAAACTGAACCCAGGCCCTCCCTCTGTGAGGGCAACACATACTCCAGCCCAGGGTCACAGTTTTGAGTTCAGTATATCTTAGACCCCAGAATGATCAATGGTAGAAAGCATGTTTTATTTTCCAGTTCTTGAACCTAAGGGAGAGGAGATGTTTGCAGACAAAGTGTGGGCACCGGGAGGAACTATCAATAATCCCCCTCCAGGGCCAGGAAAGGCACTTGTCTTTATACAGAGCGGGGTGAGTGAGAAAGCCTGTGGGCGCCCCTACCTGGAAGCGGGTTCTCTCACTGGCATACTTCTGGTAGTGCAGCATTGCCTGCAGAACTTTCTTGTGACCCCCAGGAACCAGGCACACAGCGCCCAGGATTTCCAGCACGGCCACCTTTGTTTTAATGTTCTCTGTGCTCAGACTCTGAGCGATCACATTAATACTCTCCGAGTGAGCCAGGACATGGGCCCGGCCCTGAGAGTTGTTCATCAGTGCCTTTATACAGCCAATGAGGGAGGTATGTATCCGAGACTCAGAGGTCTCATAGTCCATCGTCTTCAGGAAGTTGAGAATACAGGACAGGCCATCCAAATCAATGAACCTGGTTACAAACCTGCCAGGAAGAGAAGTGATCAGAGTCGTCCCTTTGTGCTTTTGTATCCATGGTAACAGAAAAGCCCGGGGGAAAGGAAGTGGACTCACTTCCTGGAGAACCCAAAGGCTTGCAATTCTTTGCCTCTTCCATGGCACAGAACCAATGGTCAGTCTAACCCGACTGTGAGAAGAGTCTCGTTGGAGGCAAGCGCACCTCAGCTGGTACACGGAAGCAACCGAGCACATCTTCACCCAGCCAGGAACAGCAGCCACTTAGCATACAGACCTGTCCGCCACGCTCCCTGGCGCTGGGGACTGAACCCAAGGCCTCACGCATGCTAAGCAAACACTCTGCCACTGAGCTACAGCCCCATCCCTAGACTCTCTCTCCTGTGCTCGGTCAAAGGTCATCTGCTGATTAGATGGCAGCATCTAGTCCCCAGGTGGTGTATACTGGCCCTGAGCACGGCCCCTACAAAGAGCAGCATCCTTCAGTTCTACTGCTCATCACAAATGGCTGCTTTTATTGCCAGGGCATTTAGAACAAAACCCTTCTTTTACAGGGCACGCTACAGGGAATCCTAATATACACACAGGTTTATCATGGTGAATTAATTTTATCACTATTTATAACCTTCACTGTTAAGGATGAGAATTCACCATGCGCATGTGCACATGAAAGCTGCCCAGCCCAGAGATAACCTATTTTTCGGACTAGCCGGAAACTCCCAACCTCCCTCACCCCCAGACACCTCAGCTTCTGAAAGGAAAGTTCACAACAGACTGAGAAGTGAGGAGCTTGTCGTCATGGTCCAGACAACTCTTGTCCAACTCTTGCACAGTTTTTTACGCATCAATCCTTTTTTTAGTTTGTAGTTTATTACTAAGTAAAGATAATTGTTATATTCCACCCGACCACATTCCCCTTCACTTGCGGCACCAGAGCTGATGAAACGCACTGTAAGAACTGAAGCACCTCACCAATTCTGGAGTCGTAGTGGGAGGTGATGGTGGAGGAGGGCCAGAATGGAAATGGTTAGTAGAGAGAATTCATTCCTTGCCAGGAAGTCAACCCATCTTTTTTTTTTTTTTTTCCGAGACAGGGTTTCTCTGTGTAGCTTTGCGCCTTTCCTGGAACTCACTTGGTAGCCCAGGCTGGCCTTGAACTCACAGAGATCCACCTGGCTCTGCCTCCCGAGTGCTGGGATTAAAGGCGTGCGCCACCACCGCCCGGCAATCTTTGTTTTTAATAATAGTTTTTGATACATAATTCACATGCCATAAAATTCACTGATTTAAAGAGCACAATTCAGTGGTCAAGCAATATCTCACAGTCTACGTTTCAGTATCCATTTGTCAGCTGGATATGGGTTGTTTCTATTTAAAACAATAACAAAACTATTTTGAATAATGCTGATAATGAACATCTGTACACAGTGTTCGGGAGACACTTCCTTTGTCTATATGCCCAGGAGGACAGCTTTCGGGTCATACAGCAATGCTATGGTTAACACCGTGAGGAACGAGCTGCCCTGCCACAGTCCCAAATGGCTGCATTGACATTCCCAGGAGAAACGGAAAGTGGTCTTGACATCCTGTGCTCTAGCATTCTCTCCCTCCTTCTCTCCTCTCTCCCTTCCTCTTCTTTGAAAACTGTTATCTGTCTCAGTCACCGTCTGCCTCTCTTTTAAAAGAAGGAAAGCTCTTACCAAACGTCCGGAGATCAGGGTAGTTACCCATGGTTCAGTGACATGCTCTGACATGGAAGGGTCCCTGGAAGGTGCGAGCGCCGCAGCAAACGGGGAGGAGAGGAGGGGAAGGCGGGGAAGGGAGGGTGGCTGAGCTACCCAGGGGACGCACCTCATGGGCTTTGTCCTCAGTGCCGTCTTTAGACTCTCAATGGTTTTACTCCTCTCTTCCTCCTCTTCCTTCTCTAGAGCCAGCAGAGACTTTCTCTACAGAAGAAAACAGGATTACTTCTTCGTTACTACAGCTCAATTACTGTAAATGACTTCTCAAAAAATAGCAGTGCATCTCTGAGTAAGACTTAGTACCGGCACAGACATAGAGCCCCACCAAGAACTCTGCAAAGTTCTGTCTATGTTGCAAGTCAGACTTCCAACTGTAAAGGACATGTAAATAAAATGTTTAGACAATGTAGAAGAGGGTTGCACAAATTCGTACAATGATTGTATCACAAGTCCTGATGCAGATGTTGCCATTTGTAGTTGACAGAGAAGAAGCTGGGCCTATACCTGGGTGCCACTCTCTGGCAACTAAAGGTCAAACCATCACAGGGTCAGGTAACACACACAGCCATGTTCCCACGTGGTCACTAGAGTTAGCTGAAATTGGAATCAAGATGAAAGGGATGTCTTTACATCAAATAATTTTTTTTAAGTAACAATTAAATTGAATCTGATACTAACATGGTCTCTACTCTCAGAATAAATGCAAGTTCTTAATTATGACCCAACATCATTTAGAAATCAACGTATGGAAGGAAGGGGAGGGAGGGGAGGAGGGAGAGGGGCAGAGACAGAGACATGGAGGAGGCAGGCGCGCGTGAGGTGCTGCAGAATTGGTGTGGTGCGCGCGCGCGCACGCGCGCACACACACACACACACACACACACACACACACACACACACACACACACACAC